TTAATAGCGACATATATAATACGTCATGGTGTACCAAAGAAAATCTATAATATTTCCTATTTTTTTTTTAATATTTACATTTTTTTTAAACAAGAAGTTACTTTTTTAATGCGATTTACATTGAAAATAACCCTTCTATTTGTATAATATAGAAAATTATAAACAAATGTTTTTGTTTTCTTTTGCCTTATCATCAAACACCTTAATACCATATCATACAAAAAAAAAATCGTACCCAATAATCTCTAAACATTTATCTCTCTATACTGTATACGAATGTATGCCCATTTGTTATACCCTTTTTTTGCTACCCCACCGATTCTGGTGCATCTATTTTTTCATTTGAACTTGAGTTCAAGGCCTTTTGTTGTTGTTACCAGACTGCTGCTGGATTGCAACTTGAAATCAAGGCCTTTTATTTAATGGCTGGTCTGTTGGTCGGACTGTCTGTCCCTGTCCCTGCCTCCGTTCTCGGTTGTTGTTGTTGCAGATCGTTTGCAATTATCTCGCGCCTGATTATTTACAAAATTCATTTATAAATATTTAACAGGAAAATAATAAAAATGTGTGTGTGTTGTGTTTCTGATCTGTGTATTTTTTTTTCTATAAACAAATCGAGCATATTTATATTATATGTACATATGTATGTATATATTATTATATTTTTTCAATATGGATATTTTTTCCATACTTGCCCAATCATCATCGGCAAAAATCCACCAATCATTACCATATCGCAAATATTGATAAAAAAAAAACGAAATAAAATTGCACTCGTCAATATGCACTTGTCGTTGCTGATTTCTAAGTTTAATGACTGATTAGGAGAACAACCACTGTGAGGGAAACAGAGAGTGAGAGCGGTAGTGTTAGGGAATGAGAAGTGTTTACCATAAATTAAAATGGGGCTCCAAAAATATGCACAAAATCAATGACCTAAAATGGCCATCAATCAAACAACCAGTCAACAGGCTCTGCGCGCCTCTCAACCAACCACCACCCTCGTCAACAGGCTCTGCGCGCCTCTCAACCAACCTCCACCCTCCTCTCCCCTATCTCCCTCCCTGCATTTGTAATGTAAATTTCATCACAAGTTAATGACATTTTATTAATATTTTCATATTATTTTGCTGGCTGTTGTTGTTGTTGTTTTTATTGTTGTTAGTCAATAATATTTAAATACATTTTGTAAAAATGCATAACAACCAACCGCCCAACTGTTTACCTAACAATGGAAGTTTAAAGACCCCGGTGTGTAGGCTTCAATGAAAAAACTGCAGTGTCTGCTTTTTCGTTTTCGTTGGTGTTGTTGTATTTTTAACATCTGGAAAACACAGATTGTAATATTTTGGATTGGGGGAGACGAATTGGGAGTAACAGGGGAACGATTTGTGGTATTGAGTAACTTACCTCCAAATTATCTTTTACAATGAACACAAAAAAAAACGGAAAATGTAAAGACTTTTTTTTATTGCTAACAACCCCAAAAAAATGAGGCCACTGCTTTTATTTTATTTTTATTTTTTTGTTCCGTTGTGGTGTTGTAATTCATTGCGTCAATTGATAACCTAGATAATGCGAATTACATTAAGTGTATCAGTTACCAGATGTTCACCGAAAATAAAAAATGTGAAATAAAAAAGACGAGGCGAAAAAATTAAAACCAATTTAAATCAGTTTAATGAGATGCAGCACCTAAATTGTTGTATGTTAAAAAAGCAACAACAACAACAAAAATACATTATAATAAAATATGTTATCAATTTTTTTTTTAAATTCGATTGGTGGTTTTTATTTTTTTTTTTAATTGTGGAGGTTATATTTAAAAAAATCAAATCAAATTAAAAATAAATCGAAAGATGAAGGTAAGAAGAAATTATAATTCTTAAAATTAGGGCAAATGAAAAATAAAAAAAAAAATAATTTTTAAAGTAGGAATTTCCTCTAAAATAATCCAAATAAAATCAAAAATTTTAATACACAAAAATACGTAATAAATTCATGCTCATATTTTATTTAAAAAAAATATATATTTTTTTTATTTACAAAATTCCATTATTTTCTAAAAATAAAGAAAAATGTATAGCTGGGCGTATTAGTAACGACAGATATCATACGCCCCTGAGTACCCAAAACTAATATTGCCATATTATCAAATTTCATATACGACGTCTTATATGGGAGCTTGGAAATATTTAACAAAAAAAATCCTCGACTTATGCGAGTCCTTGAAAAATATTTAAAAAAATCACTCTTTATACTGGAGCCTGAAAAATATTAAAAAAGCTTGAAAAATATTTAAAAATCTTCGCTTGATATAAGAGCATGAAAAAAATATTTTTAAAAATCCGCGCTTTATATAAAAACTTCAAAAACATATTTTTATATCAGTGAGCGAAGCAGTATAGTCGGACGGGCCGACCATACGATACCCTACAACTACCACGGAACTCAAACTTTCTGTGGATTTTTATTTCGAGCCTGTGTAATATTTCGTGATATTTGCACCCTCTTGTCTGATTCGAGGTAAACAGTACCTCTTCCTTACATTGACATATTTTCCAAATATTACGTGTATTCAGTACAGCTATTGTCCAGATTCCCTTCACCGTGGGTTATGTTGTGATGTTCGGCTTTCATTTGTAGCCTATAGATTGAATCGAAGACAAAAAAACATAAAAAAATAAGTTTTCGGTCCACTTTCCGCCATCTAGTGTGGTAATGGGTTACTAAATAATATATGAATATGTAAGCACCTGTAAATATTTAAGTGTAACTCCCAAATCCGAGTACATACGACAATATAATTGGTATCAATATAAGGATCAACCACTCCAATTGGATATACTATCAACTTCTCGGATCTGTGTTCTTCAGGAGTAAATATATACGGTTGTTATTTTTTACACCAAAGCCAAGGCCCATTTGACCCGCTAAATATTGACCGATCTTTATCAAAACAGGCATGCTTATTCTTTGGCTCGATACCCTTCTCCATGTTTGGGCCATAATTGCGGCCTCTGGAGCGACCAGATAATCAGACAATAATAAAGTTTTTGGTCCATTTCATCCCCTAAATATTAACCGATCTTTACCAAAAACAATAGGGGTCTTCATTGGCCAGAACCCACCCTATATGCAAAATTTGGCGAAGATTGGTCCATAACTGTGGTCTGTATCGTGTTTACAAATTATAATGGACAGGCGGACGGACACACATTTTTAGATCGACTCAGCTAATCGAGATATGACGATCGGTATATTTAAAGGTGGGTCTAGGACCAATATTTCGCGGCGTTACAAACTTTTGGGGCTGCACAAAGCTATAATACCCTGGCAACATAGTTGTGTAGGGTATAAAAATCCACACCTTATGTGAATATGTGAAAACTATTTTTAAGAAATGCGTAGTTGGAGTCCTTGAAAATATATTTCATTTTATTGGAGCTTGAAAAATATTAAAAAAATATCCATGCTTTATATAGGACATGGGAAAAATATTTTTTTTATAAAAATTCACACCTTATAAAAGAGCTTGAAAATATGTTTTAAAAATCCAAAACTTATATAGGAACTTGAAGAATATATTTAAAAAAAAATCCAAGCCTTATATAGGAGCTAAAAATAATATAAACTATTCAACAGCTTCGTATATGAAAAAATATTACTTAGGAACATTGTGACGTATTAGTAGCGATACACATCATACGCCCAGAAGTACCAAAGTCAATATTTCCATTATATTGTAGATTTTAATTCTTCATAAAATTTTTAAATAAAAATTGTGGTTCTGTGGTTCTCCTTTTCAGATATTATGAACACAGTGGCGTATTAGTAGCGACATTCATAATACGACCTTGGGTATAAAAGATACTTTTAGGGTTTTTTTTATATGGCGACAATTCTTAATGAGAGATTTAAAAAATTTAGCTTTTTTTAAAATGTGGATTAAAAAAAATAATTTGTAGGGTACTCTAAAAGGCGCGGAATTTTTTTTTTATATATATTTCGGAGGTTCCACACAAGGTATAAATTTTTAAAAAATATTTCTTGGATGATTTAAAATATTTTTTAATATAGTTTTTTTATTCCTACGACTTGCACTTAAAATTTGAAAATTGCATTGCAGCATTTGACACTGAAGTATTTGTTTGTTTATTTATTTTTTATTTCTTCGTGGAGGTCAATGAACCAACTTTCATCGGGCGTAATCTTATCATAAGCTTTTGGCGTGTGTGTGTCTGTGTATATATACAATTTTATTATTATTTTTATTAATTATTATACATTGTATATTTTTTTTAGAACATACAAACATACATTTAGGTACAAAATTATACACTTGAGAATTTCTCTAATGATTTCCATGTGATAGGGTAGATATTTGTTTACCTGTCTCTAACAAAATGCATGGGTGTGTGTGCAATGATGCACAAATATATAGATTTTTTTTGTTGCAATAACATCTATAACTTTCTCAGAAGTTTGTGGAAATTGCAGAAGGTGGTGTATGTGCCTATGTGTGTATATAATCTTTTTTTGCGGGCGATACAAGCGTATGCCGAAAAAATAACAACAAATATTAATAATGAGATAACATTCTAAATATACTTAAAAATATACACAAACGACGTCAAATGAAATTTTTCGGAACGCCAGAAAAAAATATTTGTTCTTGAACTTGAGTCCAATGACCTCGACACAAATACCCAAATAAATTTGTTTGCGAAGGTGTGTGTGTGTGTTTGAGTGCTAGAAAAGCGTAATCTAACACAGAAAAAAAATATGAAGGAGGGAGGGGTATTAATTTGGGCGAAATGGAATTGTGTTAATTTTTGGGGTGTAGGAAGCGGGGCTTAATTTTTTTAAATACTTGAAAATTGATTTTATTTTTATTTTTTAATTGAGAATTGTTTGATTATTTCGCTAAGCAAATTTTATTAATTTTTTTTGTGCAAAAAATATTTACGTTTTTCTTCTCTTCTTCTTCTTCTTTGCAGACCAAAAAACACTCCCCCGGCCACATCAAACGACCCATGAACGCCTTTATGGTCTGGAGCCAAATGGAACGTCGCAAAATCTGCGAAAAGACCCCCGATCTCCATAATGCCGAAATTTCCAAAGAATTAGGACGCCGCTGGCAACTCCTGAGCAAGGAGGAGAAACAACCCTATATCATGGAGGCTGAGAAGTTACGCAAATTGCATATGATTGAATATCCCAATTATAAATATAGGCCACAAAAGAAATTGGCCCGTGCCAATTCATCATCATCCTCAGGTAAACCAAATGGTGGGGGTCAGGAGGAGGGTGGGGAATTAAATTCCTCTTCCTCTTCGACAGCCTCGCAAAAAAGTCAACAAAGCAATAACTCCAGCTCAAAGCCGGGGCGTAAGGGTAAACGAACTGCTTCCAATAGTAATAGCAACAACAACAACAATACTAATCAATATAACAACAACAATGTGGGGGGTCCTGGTACCCCTCCGTATAAAAAACAACGCCATAATAGCTGTAAATCCTTGAATATGAGCACCACCACCGATTATGAGGACGATGATGACATGCTAATGGGCAGCAGCACACCCTCTTCGATCCATAATGCCAACACTCCCACCACCAGCCATCATTTGGACATAGGCAGTAGCTATTTAAATGCCACCAGCGGAGGTGATTACCAGCTACACACCACCGCCACCTCATCCTATTTCCCCAGCAATGCCTCGGATGATTTAAATTCCAGTGGCCTACAAAGATTACCCACCCTCCAGCCGGGCCTAACCACGGGCACTCTGCACTTTAAGACCGACGATGATGATGATGATGCGGACGTTAATTTTCCCAAATTTATTGCCGATTTAGATGATAGCGATTCTTGCGATTTACAGAATTCCTATCAGCATCACCATGGCATTGTCAACAATGATGCCAATTTACATCCTGCCAGTCAACAGCAACACCAATCAGCAAATCTTGATTCTCTGCAGTATTCCGATATGAAATTTGCCAATTTCTATTGCAATGATTTGGCCAGTGCCAACAACAACAACACATCAATGAACTGTGATTTAATAAGGCTGGAGGAGGAGGGGGCCCAGGAGCAGCAGCAGCAGCATAGCTACACCATATTGGGTTGTAACAATGGCTGTGACTCAAATCAGCAGCAGCAGCAACAACACAATTTACAACAACACCAAATGCAACAGCAGCAGCAACAACAACAATCGTTGTTTAATTTAACACCCCAACGCACCGTTACCATGAACATTGAAATACTCAATGGCCATAACAGCAGCAGCAGCAACAACAACATTAAAAATGAAAACGTCACATTCCATCTGGACAACAACAACCACCAACAACACCAGCACCACCACCCCCACAACACAGCTGCTTTCATCTCCAACAACTCAACAACAACATCGATCTCTACCCCACCATCCATTATCATACCCTCGTGCGGAACCGATGATTGCTGCAACAACGCCAACGTCATGCTTAACGGTGGCTCACCCCACTCCCCCCAACTGGTGGGCATTTGCGGTCATTCACCCTCACTCGTCAATACCTCGGTGGTGGAGGCCAGCATCTGTTCATTTAATCCGGATCACTGTGATACCAGCGTATCTCTGGAAACCCTAACAACCGCGACCAATGATCTCAGCAGTTATTTAAATGTTGTCGATGCGAATAATCATCATCATCATCGATCGCTGTTCGATTTTACTCACGATGATTTGCCGCCATCACAATCGATCAACAGCCATTTAGAGTTTACACATCCCAACACCCAGCAATCGTGGACACTGTAAATGTCACTGTCATGTCATGCCCGTCACACCCACCCACTCAACTCAACTCACTCATCCTTATTAGTGGAAAAATTAAAAACATCAACAAATGTAAGAGAATTATTTTATAAGCCACAGAGTTTGGTTTGGTTCTCTTTGTTACTTAGTTTTGGAGTTTATTCCCCACCCCACCGATATAAGGTAATAATGCCACAAGGTGGGAGGGACGGAATAATAATCTGCAAAATCAACAAGTAACAAATTTCCCAGCTCTGTTTGTAGAAATTAAGTCTTCTATTTTTTGGCATTGTTTAACAAGGGTTCTTAAATTGATATTGATTTGGGAGAGAGAGAGGAACAACTAAATAATTGAGATTTGAATGTGATAAAAAATAACTAAGACAGCAAATGTGATAAAGAGCTTATGTTGTGTTGTGATAAAATTATGTAGAGTGAAAATACATTACAAAGAACCTCTCTATAGAAATATTATTATCTGCCCTTTATTGTTCAAAATTTCTATAATCTTTTTTTATAAATTTCAAAATACTGCTTACTCAAAAAATTATCCATTAAAAACACCAAAAATCACTTGATTTATTTTCCCTTTAAATTCAGTTGCCTTTATTTTGACTTAAATTCTCTTTTCACTCTCAACCTTACTGCAAAAGCTCTTATTTGAAAATAACACAAAAGACATTTAAATGCAAAAAAAAACTCCTTGAATTAGGTCAACTCTATTCTCCTTTTATTGCTCTGAATTAATTCATCTTCTCTTCTCTGCACACTCTTCATTGAAATGCTTTGATCTCGTACTCATACTATGGCTTGCATGTAAACAAGCAACATAAGCTGTGCTTAAAAAAAGTGTGTGTACATGCGAAGAGAACTACTTTGAAGTGTGGCCCTAGCAATGATATGAATAACACACACACAAAGTAAGGAGAGACAGCAACACCTGCCATGGCATGGAATGTAAACAACATAAACTGTGCTGTGCACGGTTGTTTATATCACCTCTCTCCACATCAATCGTGTAACGAGTCTATTACACGAACAGAAGCGAAAGAGTACAGCATGGCTTGCACACAAACAACAACATAGGCTGTGCTTAATACATGTGTTTGCCTGCATTCGTATCGTTGACTGTATACGAAGACAATGCCCTGTGTTTTAACATCTTCTTTATAAAAAGATGACTGCCTCTTCCTTTATTACTGTGATTTAAATCATCTTCTCTCTCTCTCTCTCTCTCCACAACACTCCCCATTAAAGCATGGCTTTGATAATATGCATAGCACACATACAGAGAGAGAGATCAACATAAGCAATGGCACGCAAGTGAACAACCTAAGCTGTGATGTGCGTCGTTGTTTTTATTATCTCTCTCCCTCTCCACAACTATCGTGTATCACACGAACAGAGTTAACGAAAGTAAAGCCAGTATACGATGGCTTACACGTAAACAACAAAGATTGTGCCTAATAAATGTGTGTTGTGTTATCACCGTTGTAATGTTGTTGGTATCATTGTCTCTCCCTTTCTCACTCTCTCTCTCTCTCTCTCTCTTGTGTTTGGAGACTAACCATTTGGTAACTTCTGATTTAAAAAAGTGATTGACTTCAAAGCCTAATATCTCAGGAAATACTGAAGGGATTTTCATGTTTTTTGTGTCATATGAAAGGGAATTAAAAGCAGTTTCAGATTTTGATAATCATTAAACATCATTTAATGAACTAATATTTTAAAAACAAACGAATAATTTTATTTAACAACTTCAACGGTCTTCCCTTGAAAAATCTTTAAGAACAATTTGAATAAAATAATATTTTGAAAATAAAGAAAAAATTTGAACTTTCATATTAATATAATTTTCAATTCTACCTTGGCCAAAAAAAAAATTTTTGTCAATTTCTTTTCCTCTCCTTAAAAATATATTTTTTTTATTCTAAAATGAAAATGTTATTATTGTTTTAATTAATTTTTTCCTTTGAAGTTTATTAATTACTGTGTATTATTTTATTGAAATCTACTTTTTGCCAATAAATATTTTTTTTTTATTATTTTCAATTCAGATTTTTGTTTCTAAACTGTTCTGCCTTTCCCATCGATTTTTTTTTCTTTCACTGAAACTGTAACGTTTTTTTTTATCAATTAATGTTACCCATCCCTGATAATGACCACTACTGATATTGTCTGTGATAATCGTTTTGTTTTTTTATTTAGTTTGTTGTGATAGTGACACACATTCATGTTCTCATTATCTAAACACACATACATAAGAAATAGATTGACCTAGAAAAACTGTTATTGTGATTCATTTGTGGAGATAAAGTGTTTACTCTGTGTGTGATATTATCTCCAAATAACCGTTGTTGATCTCAATGGCATGTGTGAATGAGAGGGAGAGAATAGAGAAATTTAAAATAATATCTTTGATAATGAGGGTCACTAATTCAGATAAAGGTTGCAGTTATTTTTTATCTAACCACTAAAACCCGTTTGTTATGAAAGGGAGAGAGAGAGTGCATGTGCTGGAGATAATGAAAACAAAGAGACTGATAATAACGGAGATAATCAAAGCTGTTTATTATTATCCATACAGAACATGAAATTAACTGTGTTAAGTTTGTCACAAGAAGTTTTTGTGTAAGAAGAGACTGAGAGATAAAGAGACGGAGTTATTGATGGAGATAAACAGAGTCGTTTATTTATAATTATCTCCATAGGAAATCAAAACGAGGAATTTGTGAGGGAGAAAGAGTGAAAGAAAGATTAAGAAATGTAATTATGTGTTTAATTTGAAGTAATGAACTTTTGAAAAAAAAACAAAAAATAGATCTTTTAACACCACTGTACATTTTCTTCAAAATAAAAATACCTTAAAAATAAGAGACTGTGATATATAAGAAAAAAAGTAAAATCAACACCCTATTGGTATTTAATTCTTGAAATCAAGGACTCCTTATTTTCAAAATGCAAAAGAAAAAAAATTGTATTATTAATGATAATATTTTTGCCCTGAAAATATGAGTCTTTGGTTTGGAAAAATAGCTGGCACCTCCTGGTTGAGGACTGTTGGCTTCATGCAGCCATTTTTTTATATATAGATATAATGTATGTAAATAGTCGTTTATAATTTCATGTGTGTTTTTTCTTATTATTATTACTATGATGTTGGGGTTAAATACCAAATGGGGTGTTTTACTGTTTTTCTTGCGATATTTGTTTATAGAATTTTTTTGTTTGTTTATGTGTAAAGATAGGAAAATGAAAAAGCAATTTTGTAAATGTAGACTAGGATAAATGTGAAACTTGGATCGCCTCAGGGCTGGATCAAAGTGTTGTGATTTTTTATGAGAAAAAAATAAATAAACAAAAAATAATTTGAAGAAAAACAAAGTGATTTTTTGATACTTGGTATAGGAAACAAAAAGAAAGGTGAATTATTTCGGAGATTTTGTACAGTGGTTTGAAAGGATAATTAATAATTTCATTTCTTGAAAAATTAATTTAAATTTTCCCCCCTTTGAGAAACTTGTTAAACAGTGTTAAAAAATATTTAATATTAATTTATATATAAACAATAAAAATATATATGCTGTAATCTGTTGATAAAAATTCACATACATACTTATATACATATAAGTATATGTATGTATGTTTGTCCTATATGTAAGCAAAAAAATATATGTATATGCAATCCAATAGCTAAGAAAAAAAAATAACAACAACATCAACAAATGAAAGCGAAGCAATTGATTGTATTCTCTTTTATTTTTTTATTATTCTCTGCTTATAATCTGAGTGTATTTTCTTTACTTTAAGTATAGAATACAAGTAATAATAACAACAAATCATTATAATTTTTTTCTATATTATATACATACACATAAATTAAAAAAATAAATCATATATACAACAAAAAATTATTCTTATATACATACAAACAAAAAAATCTATATATACATACATACAAATAAATCTAGTTTTATAGTGATATATATATATACCTAAATTTTTAAATAAAAAGAAAAAAATAAACATCAACAACAAAGATTAAAGAAAACTTTTCTTTATAGCTATATATCTACATAAATATATGTTTTTTATAATATTAATAAATTAAACTTAAGCTTTATAAAGAATGACAGATGATAAAGAAAAATCACAACAACAACAAATTGAAAACTATTCTAGTAAACATGTAAAGGAGATTGAAGCAAAGCAAAGAAGAAGAAGAAAAAATCATTATTTTATGTCTACCCCCATTTACCCATCCAACACCCCCTTAAAAATTTTGATATCCTTCCTCCCCCAAAATTTTTATATGTAACAATGTAGTATATAGTATATACTACATCCCCCCCCCCCCTAAGATATATTTATATATAAATGTTAAATTTAAAAAAAGTAGTAATTTTTTCTATCCATCTCTAGTTTTATAAGTTTTTATGATAAATCCATTCACCCTCATCCTTATCATCCGATATTCCCCTTCTCGCCCCCTATACTCTTAAGCCAAAAGCAAACATTTTTTGAAAAAGAAAACAACAACAATCCTTGCACACACTTCCATCTCTTAAAAAGAAGCAAAATGCTGCATAAACAATTTATATACATATTAAAAAGAAAAATAAAATAAAATGAAAACAAAACAAAAAAATCTACAAAATAAACACTGAAAAGAAATTCTTAAAAAAAACAACAACATAAAAATCTTATTAATTGTTTGGTTTTTGGGTTTTAAATTAATGACGCACTGTGTGCGGTTTTTTGGCCAATGGACAATAATGATATACTAGGGAGCATAACAAACAGTGGGCAATATGGTAAGTAAAAATTAAAAAAAAAATATTTTTTCAGGGTCCTAAATAAGGCGTGGATTTTTTAAAAATATCGATTTATATTTTCGTCCGATTTTATGTAAATGATGCACCAAAGTCCCTATACATCCTTTAATTTGCACGAAATTTGGCATAGCGTACTGAATTAGGTCTATAACGATGTGTGTTAAGTTC